TGATCCGTGCCATCCTACCTGGAGTAGTGTGTTGTGTTCTGGTTTTCGTTCGTTAGATTATGCATGAAGATATCGACCAAGATGAGCTCTAGTGATGATCTCATGGCCACTCTGTCGGTTTGTTTGTATAGCTGCTTGTTGAATTGGGATTGAACCCCTCCCGCTCAGAGTAACTCACTTTGAGGTTAAAGAAGTAATTCAGATTGCTTGCAAACTATACTATTAGCTCCTAATGTTATACTCGTAAATAATGAACACGTCAAAATACACCATTAATCTGTCTGATATGTTCATATGATTCATTTGTTTGGAACTAAACTATTGATCCCCAGTATTCTACAAATTGGTTCTAATAATTTAGCCAACTTATGATATCGTAGATGATTAACGGGATGTTGGATTTGTGCACTTTAGGGAAACCTCGTACGAAAAGCAGTCATGAACCATTTGCTTTAAGATTCTCGTAAGTTGAATCACCAATCAGTTACTTAAGACTTCTATTGACTCTGTTTTCGATTGTTGTGATGGTACCTTTCTTAAATTTATCAATTTGGTATCCTAATGTATCATTGGGAATCTGGGACACTTTATACATATAATCTTTTCGACTCGGTATGACATCGGAACCTTTTGAGGACTTGTTAATAATTATAGTAGTAATTATAATTTTAGTTTGTGTGCAGCTTATGAGAAACTGTGAAATAGACTATAAATAAACGATACATTTGTAATATCCCAATGAGTAGAAAAATTTAGATTTTCTGACGTTTCGTCACCTAGTATAGGCCACTTCTTCAGAGAATAATTAACCAAATCAATCCAAGTTTAAATAGTACGATGGAACAACACGGATTTATTTTTATTTATTTATTTAAACTCATAAATATTGGTACAAAGGGGCACCAGTTACATATGCACCTCAGAAATCTCATTCGATTTGCTTGGGGGTTGTGATACTGCCCAGGTGCCCAAACTGAAGCAGGTGGTTTTCTTAGGGTGCCACACCCCGAGCCTTTGACCGAAAGATCTGATCCACAAGGCAGTGGAGCATCGTGAGGAGATGCAGTCCCATGGAAGTCGGTGATCAACGATTGATTCATACGCCATTTGTTCCCTCAGGATACTGGAGCCCATGTGCATCATTGGTTTGTAATCAGGGTTTTCCAACTCTTCTAGGTGGACTCACCTTGTCCACCAACCCGTTAAAGCACCGGACATTCGCTTTTCGTCCTCTCACTTTCGTAAACAACACCGCCGCCACGATAAGGCAGTGAGTAGGACTTTCCTGGCAAGGGCTATATATTCGCTGGCCATGTGAGAGCATTTGGAGAAGGAGAGCTGAATCTCCCCACTCTCGGCCGTATCAGGGCATTTGGGGGCTACACGAATATTATGTGATCAATCAAAAACAGGCCTGAATAGATCAATGTCATTTCGATCATGGTGATTTATAAGCGAAATGTATGTAAATTTGTGTGTGTGTGTGTGTATGTGCACCGTTAATGATGAAAACTGTGTGACTTTTATGGTGAGAAAGGATAGAGTTGGATTTGTAAGTTAATTGTGTGAGATGTAAACACTATCAGACTAGGTGACTAATATAGATTGTCCATGTAGGATGTATGGTTAGGCCTACTTCTCTATTGAGAGAAGTAGGATTCAGCATTGTATGGAAAGCTTCAACTACTCTCTTTTCTTTGTAATTGGAAAAGCTTTTTTGTAATATTTTGATATTTTTGAAATTGATCTGATGGTCGTTGAAAATGTCGTGAATTGCTATTGCCGATTAAATTTGAAGTCTATCCAGTTCTACAGGATTATTAGGAGGTTTCTTTGTGTACCTAATATGTTCTTTGGCACGATTCACGATTTCGCGAGATGATTCTGCAATATTGAAGGCATCACAATCGATACAACCTAATTTGTAGACGCAGTTCTGTGTACACATGAATGGGATTTTTTCTTTTAATCGAAGTAAAGTATTTCGAAGTGTGTTCGTTGTCTTGTTACATACTTTAATTCTGTGTTGTTTTGAGATCCTTTGGAGTTCTTCAGTTGTGCCATGACGGTATGATAAACTGCAGTACCAATGACATTGATTTATTCAGACCTATTTTTTGATTGATCACTTATTGTTCCATTGTACTATTTAAACTTAGATTAATCTTAGTTTGGTTATTCATTCTCTGAGGAAGTGGCTTACACTGAGTCACGAAACGTCAGAAAATCTTAATTTTTCTACTCATTGGGATATTAAAAATATATTATTCATTGATGTCAATCTACCCAATGCTCAAGTTATTCGAAATTATCAAATCAAAACTTGGTAATGATACCTACAAACTCATTAGTGTGAAATAGACTGATGAATTCATTTTATTATTATGTAATCGTCTTTGCTCTGTTTGGATTTTTCGGGAGATTTAGTTGTATGAAACTCGTAATAAGGTCTGAATATGACGTTTCATAATAATTTTTATTGCAGGAATCTTCATCGAACTCGAGTTAGTCAGTGTTGTGTAGGCATCTAAGGTTACGCTATTCCAGAGTTCTCTTTTACGGTTGATATCTACACTTTCATTTTTGAATCGACTTTCAAAATGTACCAATTAAAGTAAAAATGGGACAATTCTGAAATTATTGTAGTGCTTTAGCAGAGTTTGGACTGGCAAATGTGATAACAACCAGGGATGATTGTTTAATTTGATCAATTTAACAGTATTTAGTCATCAATATTACCAATTTTCCTCATGTATTCCAATTTGTCCTGTTGCGACGTAGTCTGGTCTTTTACAAGGTTCCATTTTTCTTTTGGGACTTTAACGTCTTCAATTGAACGGTTCAGATCATTTGCACTGAATTTTTACGGAGTTCATACACCATATTAGGATGTAGTTTTCACTTCTGTCACCGACCATAAGAATATTCCTTAAAAACAAAGTCCCATAGGCACAAAATAATTCATTACTCACTATGACTTGTTGCTCATTTAGATTCATTTAGTCAATCAGTACACATTACACAAAGTTAATTTCATTTTTACAAATTAAGAAGAGTTGAATTAGTTAGTAAACGATATGTATAACTAGAGATGGGATTGGTTTATCCAGTCTTCAAAATTCACTTATTATGTGTGCAATTGAGCGATAAGACTGAAAACTACATGCTTAGTCTGAAGCTGAAGTCATACTGTTTGCTTTACAGGGGTGTGAAGACAGTGAGCTATCTTCTAGACGAGACCAGCGTCTAGAGCGACATTGCCCTCATACGATAGGTGTGAGGTTATATATATATATACTGAATCATCTGTGTTATTTAGTGAAAACTGACTATTTATATTCGTGTTTGCTTTGTTGCCCCCGAATGCCCTGGTATGGCCGAAAGTTGGGAGGGGCAGCTCTCCTTCTCGAAATGCTCTCACATGGCCACGCGTATAGAGCTTCTGCCAGGGAAGTCTTACTCACTGCCTTCTCGTGGCGGGGGTGTTGCTTACGAAGTTGAGAGAACAAAAAGCGAATATCTGGGGCCTTAACCGGGTTGGTGGACACGGCGAGTCCACCTAGGGGAGTTGGAAAACCCTGATTTCAAACCAATGGTGCACATGGGCTCCAGTATCCTGAGGGAACAAATGGCGTATGAATCAATCGTTGATCACCGACTTCCATGGGACTGCATCTCCTCACGATGCTCCACTGCCTTGTGGATCAGATCTTTCGGTCAAAAGCTCGGTGTCTAGCCCCCTAAGTATAACACCTGCTTCATTTTGAGCACCCGGGCAGTATCCCAGCCCCCACACAAATCAAATGAGATTTGTGCGCCCATATGTATCTGGTGCCTCTTTGTACTTTGTTTGCTTTGTTAGTATACCGTAAGAAAAATGATATTTACTACTGCAATTATAGAGTTTCATAAAGCCTGTAATCCATTTTTGAACTTTTCATGTTGCGGTATATTTGACTGATCGTTGTTTGAAATGATTTTAGTCATTTAAGCTAAGAGGCATTGGAAACGTGTTTTGTTTTAGTTTAAAACGTTTCACCTGTGTACAGCCAAGACTTCGTAAGGGACCATATACTAACTGATAACTAGTCTCGAGATAAATTTCCGAAGTTTTCATGAGGATTTGTGACTATTACAGTTCAACATTGTGGAAAGCAAGATAAGTGCCACCAATTACAATGTATAGTCGTTACTCATCACAATTTGACTGAAGTTGAGAATTCGAATTACAATTCATTTGTCTAATCTTTCTTTCGTAAGAATTGGAGAGCAGTGTATGGTAAGAGTAGGTAGTTATTGACTATGACTAAAATAAGTCTACAATACTCATTGATTACCAATCCTTTCCCACTTAAGGTTAATCTATGATGAAATTAATTAGCATCTTTTTAGCTTAGTTAAAATCCTGCTTCCAATATTTGTGCAAGTGAGATTTACAGACAAACCGAGCGAAATAGATGATACCATAATCGACCACAACGTGAACATGTCCTAAATGCTATTAATAGGTTAGACAATATGATAAATTTTGTAGAGATTATTAAATAAGAATAAAGTATCTATAATGATAATAATAGCTGGGGATGGAAATGGAAATTGATGAAAGTTAGAAATTTTAACTTACGGTGGATACCAACTCAATGGTCACAATTGATTGATCACTGGGTGGTGATCAATCTCATGCATGTCAGGTCTTTCTTAGTGCTGATCGAATGCTATCGATCGAGTTGCAATGTGACCACCAGTCTAGGTAGCTCGACACTGCTGCTGACCATGTGAGAGCATTTGGAGAGAGAGAGCGTACTCTCCCCACTCTCCTGTACCAGGGCATTTGGGGGCTAGCAGTAACTTATGTACTGGCATACCATATGTAGAATTAGTTTTATAAAGAATGTTTGATGGAATTATTCACATGTCACAAGATGTAAATATTTGTCCAACTTTCTATTTTAGAATGACCGCCTCATTACTTTATAGCACCTTTTTTCGTTTATTTATTAGATCCAATTCAAATGAACCGAAATATTCAGCTTATTTTCAAAAAATGTGAACAATCAATCCGTTTCCGAATGTTATCATCATCATCGTCATCATTTGTATATTCACCATCTTCATCAATTCCTCCACATATTCCAATTATGAAATCAGAAATTATAAAATATACCCAACCAAAACCAGGTCAAGTGAGTGATCTACTTGTCTTGTTTTATTATTTTTTATATACAAATAAACAATCGGAAACTACAATTTTAGATATACTGACCAACTCCGACTTGACTACATGGTAGATAAATAATGCAAGTTTATTTGTACATGGCTGTTTTAAGTGATTTTTTAGATGAAGGAGGTATTTTACATGCACGGACAGCTTTGATAAACATTATATGTCGCATTAAACTCATTAATTTCATCCACAATGTTCAGTCTAAAACCAGTCATAAACTAATGAAGACACTAACTAAAACACTTGTAAAAGAACAAAATCATGACGCCTTCCCTATCAATTCAGGAAAATACATACATAACTTATCTAGAAAAAAACTAAGTCGAATTGAAACAGAAGCACTCTCCCTTGAATTCAAATTTCATATTCCGAAAAAATGTAACAGAATAGACACTGAAACGCAGTTTCAGTATTTATATCAACAACTGTCAGATCTTAAACCCATGAACGACAAAAAACAAAGCTGGTTAAAATCAAAATTAGTCGATATTACAAATCAATACGTTACGACACCGATTCCGCAATCAAAAGTATTCACTAAAGATCATCAATAAGCATTAAGAAAACTTATGAAAGACGAAACAATATCGCTACTTTGTCCTGATAAGGGTTCCGGTGTAGTCATTCTCAACAGAAATGAATACACCAGCAAAGTTATGTCCATTTTAAATGATCCCACAAGATTTATAACCGACAACACCCAGAAAGACCTAACAGATGCAACTGAGAAGCGCCTCTTAAAAATGTTGAGAGAGCTGCTGAAGAAAAATCTAATTGATAACCATACATATAACGAACTTAAACCAAAAGGATCACAATTACCATACTTATACGGTCCACCCAAAATACACAAAACCGATATCCCGATAAGACCAATAATATCTATGACAAAATCACCCTTTCATAAACTCGCCCGCTAGCTGACAAGGTGCTTGGAACCAATACGTAAGAAACTAGTACCCTATAGTCTGAAAGATAGTTTTAAATTTGTACTAAAACTTGACACTATAAATGCTTCTGATAAATTCATGATCTCATTTGACTTCTCATCGCTTTTCACAAATATACCGTTAGATGAAACGGCAGAAATCATAGGTGAATACTCTGAACTTTTACCTTTACCAATCCATGAATTAAAACAGCTTCTGTTTCCGTGTACAAAAAACATACAATTCAAATTCAACAATGTGTTCTACCGTCAAATTGATGGAGTAGCCATGGGTAGCCCTTTGGGTCCAATTCTGGCCGACATATTTATGGGGAACCTCGAAAAGAAGAAGCTTAAGCATGACATCGATAGTACCACGCTATACTGCAGATACATGGATGACACCTTTCTTGTTTGCGACAATTACAAACACTCCATCAATCTGCTCAGTTTGTTTAATAAAGCACACAAGGATATAGAATTTACGATGGAACATGAAGACGATGATAAATTCCATTTCCTAGATATTGGAATTAGACGAACACCAGTGGGTACTTTACGAAGATATGTTCATCACAAAAACACTTGGAGTGGACTGTATCTCAATTACTACAGTTTCTGTCCAATGAGTTACAAAAAGGGTATTGTACGAACCCTTTTCGACCGCGCACGCAAAATCTGCTCCAATGAGTGTCTTGAGGAAGAAATAATTTTAATCACCAAATGCCTACGTGAAAATGCATATCCAGAGAAATTCATCCACAAATATGCAAACACCAACCGTCGAATAAAGTATGATCGAGTTGAAAAGAAAACATGCTTCCTATACCTACGTTTCAAAGGAGAAGAAATCGCTGGAATAATTAACCACAAACTTAATTCCGCGTTGAAAGCGACCTACCCAGCAGCTAAACTGACAACGGTGTGGGAAACAAACTGCTCACTCAAACAAACTAAAATCGACAAGTCCTCTTTTCTCAGTAGCTCTAACTGCATTTACCAATTTACATGTAAGTGCAAAAGCACATACATTGGAAGAACAGAGAGAAGAGTGCATGTTCGCATTTCTGAGCATGTTCCTAAGAAACTGAGGCTGCAAGGGTCCAGGACTCTCAACAGTGTGATAGCTCGGCATTTACTCGACACCGAGCACAGCATTGACATTTCTCATGCCTTTAAAATCATTAGCAAACAAAGAAGTACAACTGCTCTCCGGTTTGCTGAAGCGATCGCGATAAAAGAACTCAAACCGGATCTGTGCACTCAAAAAAAGACAGTGATAAACTTATTACTTACTTACTTACTTACGCCTGTTACTCCCAATGGAGCATAGGCCGCCGACCAGCTTTCTCCAACCCACTCTGTCCTGGGCTTCCTTTTCTAGTTCTATCCAGTTCTTGTTCATTCTTCTCATGTCTGTCTCTATTTCTCGGCGTAATGTGTTCTTTGGTCTTCCTCTTCTCCGTTGACCTTCAGGATTCCATGTGAGGGCTTGTCTTGTGACGCAATTAGCTGATTTCCTCAAGGTGCGCCGAATCCACTTCCAGCGCTTCTTCCTGATTTCTTCCTCTGCTGGAATCTGGTTTGTTCTCTCCCACAGTAACTTATTGCTGATAGTGTCTGGCCATCGGATCCGAAGTATCTTGCGTAGACAACTGTTGATGAACACTTGTATCTTCTGGATAATGGCTTTCGTATTTCTCCACGTCTCCGCCCCATACAGTAGAACTGTCTTGACATTTGTATTGAAAATTCTAACCTTGGTGTTGGTTGACAATTGTTTTGAGCTTCAGATGCTTTTCAGTTGTAAGTATGCTGCTCTTGCTTTGCCGATCCTCGCCCTCACATATGCATCTGATCCACCGTGTTCATCAATGATGCTGCCCAGATATGTAAAGGTTTCCACATCCTCCAAAGCTTCTCTGTCAAGTGTAATTTGATTGGTGCATATTGTATTGTATCGAAGAATCTTGCTTTTCTCTTTGTTTATATTGAGACCTACTGCTGCTGAGGCTGCTGCTACACTGGTCGTTTTCTCCTGCATTTGTTGTTGCGTTTGTGATAGAAGAGCCAGATCATCCGCGAAGTCTAGATCGTCAAGTTGCATCCTGCCTGTCCACTGTATCCCGTGCTTTCCTCCAGTCGTTGACGTCTTCATGATCCAGTCGATGACCAGGAGAAAGAGAAACGGTGAGAGTAAGCAACCTTGCCTAACACCGGTCTTTACCTCGAATGAGTCGGTGAGTTGTCCTCCGTGGACGATTTGGCAGTTTAGTCCATCATAGGAGTTCCGTATGATATTTACTATCTTCTCAGGCACGCCGTAGTGTCGAAGAAGCTTCCATAGTGTCGTCCTGTCCATGCTATCAAATGCCTTCTCGTAGTCGATGAAGTTGATGTAGAATGATGAATTCCATTCGATTGATTGTTCCACAATGATCCGCAGAGTTGCGATTTGATCTGTGCACGATCTATCCCTACGAAATCCAGCTTGTTGATCTCGAAGTTGGGCGTCCACGGAATCCTTCATCCTGTTTAACAATACTCGGTTGAAGACTTCCTGGTATTGAGAGAAGAGTGATGCCCCTGTAGTTGTCGCACTTGCTAAGATCGCCTTTCTTTGGTATCTTGATCAGAAGTCCTTTTTTCCAGTCTGTTGGTACTTGTTCTTCGTCCCAAATCTTACTGAAGAGGATGTGGAGTATCTTGGCAGTTGCTGTTACATTTGCTTTCAGTGCCTCTGCCGGGATATTGTCTGGTCCCGCTGCTTTGCCACTCTTGATTTGTCTAATGGCCATGCTGATCTCTTCAATTGTTGGTGGGCCAACATTGATTGGGCGGTCTGTGGGTGCTGCTTCGATGTTGGGTGGGTTCAGTGGAGCTGGTCGATTTAAGAGTTCTTTGAAGTGTTCTACCCACCTGTTTCGTTGTTCATCAATGTCGGTGATTACTTTGCCTTCCTTGCTTTTCACTGGTCTTTCTGGCTTACGGTGATTTCCAGCAAGTTTTTTTGTTGTATCATACAGTTGTCTCATGTTTCCCTCTCTTGCAGCCTTTTCCGCTGTCATCGCTAAATCTTCCACATATTTACGTTTGTCGGTTCTGATGCTCCTCTTCAAATGCTTGTTTGCCTCTGTGTATTCGGCTTGTGCCTTGGCTTTTTCTGCTCTTGGTCGGCTGATATTGATTGCAGCCTTCTTGTTCCTCCTTTCTTCAATCATATCAAGTGTAAGAACAGTGATCCATTCCTTGTGATGGTGCTTCTTTTGGCCCAGAACCTCCTGATATGTTGAAACGATTGCCTCCTTGATACCTTTCCAATTGCTCTCGATAGTAGTTCCCTCCCCATTGAGTAGACCATGAAAGGCCTGGAGCTTATTGTCGAGGTCTATGTTGAATTTGTTGAGTTTGTCAGTATGTCGAAGAAAAGCCGAATTTAATTTTTGTGATGTTGTCCGCGCCGTTGTCCAGTGCTTCTTAAGTTTTAATATCATCTTGGCGACCAGCAAGTGATGATCTGACGCTGTATCAGCTCCACTCCTGGTTCTCACATTATCCATCGTCCTCCTGAACTTTTTGTAGATGCAGATATGATCGATTTGATTTTGTGTAGTGTGATCCGGTGAAATCCAAGTGGCTTTGTGTATGTTTTTGTGTGGGAATATGGTGCCACCTATGACCAGTTTATTGAGGGCACATAGGTTTGCAAATCTCTCGCCATTTTCGTTCCTTTCTCCCAGTCCATGTTGTCCCATGACGTCTTCATATCCAGTGTTGTCCATTCCAACCTTGGCATTGAGATCTCCCATCAGAATGGTCAGGTCCTTGGTTGGGCACTTCTCGAAGATCGACTGCAGCCTATCGTAGAATTGGTCTTTAGCGTCTTCATCGTAGTCGTTGGCAGGCGCATAGCATTGGATGACGTTCATTGTAATGCCCTCTCTCTTTGTTTTGAAGGAGGCTTTGATGATCCTTGGTCCATGAGATTCCCATCCTATAAGTGCATTTTGTGTTTTTCTGGACAGCATCAATGCAACTCCTTGTGTATGTGGGGCATTTTCTTCTTCATGACCGGAGTATAACAGAAGTTCTCCTGAAGACAGTCGTTGTTGTCCAACCTGCGTCCAATGCGTTTCACTGATTCCAAGCACCTCCACGTTGTACTTTCTCATTTCTGAAGCAATTTGGAAAACTCTTCCGGTCTCCCACATTGTTCGGACATTCCATGTACCTATAAAAATTGTCGCTCTGGTTGTAAGAAGGTGCATCGGCCTCATGACTTCCGAAGGAACTCGGCTTTCATCATGAGACGTCATAATTATTCCTTCTACTCCCAGGGCAGAGTTTGAAAGGTTTGAATGATTTTTTCTGGTCAGCGTTTTTTTAGCGAGTTGATTTTCTACGGGATGGGGTCGCTAACCCCATGCCCAACCCTCCTCCTTTACCCGGGCTTGGGACCTGCAGTAAACCCCAGAGGAGCTACGGGAGGAGTTGATAAACTTATTACTACCCTGGTAATCCTTTTTTTGTTTGCTTGTTTCAATTTTGTTGTTATTAGTTTAATTTTGGTTAATATTCAGTTTTTACTCTATTCCTCTTCCCTTACCCAATTCTTAAACCACCCTTTCTCTCACACATTTCCGCTCATTTGTCTCTCCTAATTATATGAACTATCCAAATTTTATTCAATTATTACGTAACCCACCCTAATTGTTTTAATTACCTCTAAAATAATCACATTTTTGATCTTATCTGTCTTTGAATTCCACTCAACTATTACGCCACCCTTCATTCTAATACCTAATAACCTCTGACCTTCCTTGCACACATATATATATAGTTATCATTGATGATCTTTTGTTATCCCATTCCTTTACATTCACTTATGCCAGCCGTTCCATCCTATTTATTACCCTAATGCATATTTGGTTGTAAGCAGCTGATGAGAAACCATGAAATATAATGAATTCATATTATTCTGCATCAATATTTGTTCTGTCTTTATTTAAATTCATAAAGGGAACTAATTGCATGTAGTTTTCGTCTTTCTGCTACCAAGGTCTCATGTATTACTAGCCTCGAAACTGAACTAGATAGCCTCTTATGCCAAGGCCTTAAAATAGATCGAAACCAATTCTCTCCTGTATATTAGTGGACAGATGGATCAAGGAAGTAACAGTAGCCTAGTGTTTTAAACACCGAACATTCAATTACATCAATGTAGATTTTAAACACTGGCCCATTTAACTCAGCTTTGACAGGTTGAATAAACAATAAATGGATAGAAATTCTGTACTGATTACCCTAAGAATTCATTTTGCTTTCTACTCATCCATTTATTCTAGGTTTATTTAGATATGACTTTTGGTACAGGAGGTCATGCGAATGAAATATTGAAATATGCCGGTGATAATTTGACTTGTTACTTTCTAGATCGCGATCCAACAAGTTTATCATTTATGGAATCTCTTCGTAAAAATTATAGCTCATCCAAGTAAGTTTCTTTCATATTCTATATCTGATAAGTCTTGTCGATTTGAACGCTATATTCGTTTTCCTAAACTATTCTGGTAACCCACAGGCTAGAACTACTCAGCGACTTGAACACCAGAGAGAAGACGCAAGTGTGAGAGAAAAAAATACTTTACTCCAAGGTTCGTTCTTGTACAGAAAATCATGGGTAATTATAGATGTTAGCGTCTGTTAAATCAACACCATATTTCAGCCAATCCGTTAACGACATAATTTGCTACCGACCAATAATAGCACGCCACGTTGGAATTCTAGAATGTTCCACCATACTCTGATTGGCTAGGGCTCTTCGGCTCCTTTTGGGCTTCTGGAGGCTCCGCTGAAGTTCTCCGGAAGCCGACTCAACAATATCCACTATATTCTGTGATGATAATATTGAGTTATTTTCTAAGAAAAGAAGTTGATTAGAGTAGTTCAGTATTGCATTATTCTAGTTAATAATAACTAAATGAAAGTAATTTCTAAGCTAAATTCTATTGTGTAATATTTCAAAACTTTACAAAGTTAATGCGCAAAACATAAAATTACATCTAATTTTATAGTTGAAATCACGAGTCGATTGAAGCTAGACCACCATGGAAAACCTGGAAGCAATGTTTGACGGCCGTTTCGTCCTATTATGGGACTCCTCAGCAGTGCGCATCCACGATCCCGCCTCGCGAGATTCGAACGCAGGACCTACCAGTCTATCGGTTAAGTGCTCTGGCGCGAGACTGGTAGAAAAGCCATAATAGGACGAGACGGCCGTTCAGTCCTTCCAGGTTTTCCATGGTGGTTTAGCTTCAATTGACTCATGATTTCAACTATGAAAATTCGATTAGCAATAGAAGATTCAAACTGATATAACATTAGTCAAACTTTATGTATCTTTTTTCTCTACTTTTATTTTATGTTAGTCATAAAATATATCCACTTATTGGACGATTTAGTGATCTTCCTCAATTATTAAATGGCTATGATTTGAAATATCAATCAGTTGATTTAATTCTTATGGATTTAGGTGTAAGTTCACCACAATTGGACATTGAATCTCGTGGATTTGGTTTCAAACATAATGCTCCATTAGATATGCGTATGAATCAAAGTCCGAATGTACAGTAAGTTTTGAAGATGTTAATTTGATTATTGACTTTTTTTAGTTAGTAGCCTCTGCCAGGGAAGTCCTACTCACTGCCTTCACACAGTGGCATTACTGTTCTTTACGAAATTGAGAGGACGAAAAGCGAATGTCCGGCGCTTTAACCGGGTTGGTGGACACGGAAAGACACGGGAGTTGGCAAACCCTGATTCTAAACCAATGGTGCACATGGGCTGGCTCCAGTATCCTGAAGGAACGAATGGCGTATGAATCAATTGTTGGTCACCGGCTACCATGGGAATGCATCACCTCACGATGCTCCACTGCCTTGTGGGTTAGACCTTTAGGTCAAAGGCTCGGGGTGTGGCCCCCTAAGAAAACCACCTACATCAGTTTGGACACCTGGGAAGTATGACAGACCTCACACAAATCTCATTTGATTTGTGTGGCGCATATATATCTGGTGCTTCCTTGTACCAATTTTTATGTGTATAAATAAAATAAGTAAAAGTAGTCTATTCAATAAATAAGCAAACTTGTTGGGGATGTCAAATCCCCAGAACTTACTTGGTAAATGGCTTTATTTTGTAATTTTATTTTGAAAATTTGAATTTCCTTGTTTTCGCGCCAAAGGCGCTCTTTTCACTTTCAAGTCGTATTTCCCACTTGTAAAATATCTTAAATGCTATTGGTCCGTTATATCTTTGAGTGTGCTATTTTGTAAGGCTGTCCAAGGACAATTTATCGCTGTATATATACGTTTGAGTTTTTCCCCTTATGACTTGCTTGTACTCGGCTGCTTAAGGAATATATATTCCCCTACTTCAACTTTGACTTCTTCCTCTAGTTAGCGGGGCCTGAGACAACGGATTAGATTAGCCTATCGTGTCACTATGTCATTGGTCTTCGTTCGTTACCGAGAAAATCGACTTAGCTCAAACATATCAAAACTGAAGTCATACAAACTTCATATCCAAATATCAAAGTCAATCGTATCTCGTAGCAATACATATATCCCGTATCTGTTTTCATTATTCAATATATCCCAAGAAGTTCTCAGAAGTCTAGCTCTTCAGATGCTTCATTATTTCTCATCTTTTCTTGAATGACGAGTATTCTCGTAGAGTCGTGCGCACAAATGATTGTTTCAAATTCAGTTCAGCGTTTATCTAAACTTTGAGTTGACGATTGGAAAGCACAGGACATTGTATCTATTCAATGTTTCTGTTATGATCTACTGTCGTTCAAGTCTTCTAGTGTGATATATATATATATATATATATATATATATATATATATATATATATAAGATGGTGGTTGGAGGTGGTCAACAGGAAACCTTGGACCCGGGTATCGTTCTACTTGGCACTCGTCAGCAAGGTGTATCTGTAATCTTGAGGGAACTGGTGGCTCCCTGACGGATTCGATCCCGTGTCACACAGCTTCACAGTCAGAGAGCATTTGATCAGCACTAAGAAGGACTTGACACGCATGACATTGATCACTACCCAGTGATCAATCAATTCTGATATATACTACTTTAATGAGAGAACCAATAGTGAATAGGAGGCTTCTATTGGGTCGAAATGTATTCAAAAACTCATTTGTTTTATATTAGCATGTGTCCTTAAAAAATGAAGCCCTATTTTCGATCAACAACGTGTATCTGTTCCCTTTGAAAATCAAACCAAATCTTGACTAATTACATGTACTTGTCACCATCTCCACTGATCATTTGACTTTAAACAGATATGTCCGATTAGCCCAGCCTATAAGTTTTTATTTACACAAAATGTTCACATCTAGTACTGATCTTTTATTACCTTTTCAAACCATTCGAATCAGTAGTAATAGTAGTAATGTAGTCTACACATATCTACGTAGTTCAGTTAGGCAGTCAGTGTCTTCATGAACTAATACCATGTCTTTGTTTGACTTCATTTATCTTTCTTCCGAACAAATCCTTCCCCAGCCATCGTCGTGCAGTGAGGTGGTCGGTGGATGGAGAACACAATATGCATCCTAACTATCTCAGTCGATAAAGATTTACTACTTCGTCAGTCGATTTGCCATACTTACCAAGTACTCTTGACTAACCCGATGATTCCAAAATAAACAAGCAATGCTTCAAAGACAGTTAATCAGCTTTATGATTAGCAAACTTGTCACTAAAGTGTACATATGAGATTTACAAGCTTGTCTTCCAATCAGTTAACATGTTTATTTTTAATGTTCAACAATTCCAGTAGCTCCTGAAATTATCAATATCTTTTATGATGATTATTATCATCGGTTACTTTTAACATCTCAATGCTTATTATGCTTTGTTCAATGAAACTAATACTGTTGTGGGTGATAGTTATAATCGTAGTTCTATGTATGTAACATAACTATGAATTCACCGGTTTATCCTAATGGTTAAACCTAATTATTACTTAGCCCTGTTACTCCTCGTTCTTCAATAGGCCACCGACCAGCATTCTACAACAAACAATGCTCTGGACTCTCCTTTCCAGTTCTTGACAAGTTCTATTCATTCTTGTGATATCTACCTCCAATCCCTTGTTCATTGTGTTCATTTGTTTCCTCCTTTCCTTTGGCATTGAGGATTTTGAACCACACCTTGTTCTGTGATGCAGCTTGATGACTTCTGTAAAGTGTAACCTACCCACCTTCAGAGTCTTTTCTTTACCTTCTTCTCAGCTGGAAGCTGGTTTGTTCTCTGTCACAGTGGGTTGTTGCTGATTTTGTCCGACCAACAGATCCGGGGTACCTTAAGTAGACAATTGTTTATAAATACGTCTACTATTTTGATAATGTTTGTGTTAGTTCTCCAAGTTTCAGGTCCATACACAACAGGAAAGTGTTTAGAGCTTTCTCGACATTTGTTTTGAAACTTGTGACTTCGGTGTTGGCTGACAGTTGTTTTGAGTTCCAGATGTTCCTCATTTATAGCAATGCTGCTCTTGCTTTTCCAATCTGTGCCTTCACATCTGCATCAAATTCTCGTTGTTTGTCAATGATGTTGTCCAAGTGTGTGAAAGTTCCCAAGTTTTCCATAGCATTTCTATTACGTGTGAATTCTTGCTGCTCACATTGTTGTATTTAGGATCTTGCTTTTTCCTTCGTGTATGTTAGGGCCTACCATTACAGAGGCTGCTGCTACACTGGCTATCTTCACTTAGATTTATTGATGTGTATGGAACCTTTCTAGGGTTACTGTCGATCCTAAGTCTGGGAAAAGAAAGAGGGTTTGACATGAGGTCATGAATCCCATCCTGTATGAAAAATCCTTGCTTAAGAATGCTAGGCAGAAAAATCATTTTTAATTATCATTGCCTAAATTTATTTTCTTTCCACCAATATATTACTCATCATGGTTCAATCATTCATCCAATGATATTTATAATTTCATTAAGATCAAAAACCGATATCACTTCGACAACCACTGGAAACCTCAATGCACTGGATGAAAATTTCGTCTTAGTATGGGACTCCTTTGCAATGTGTATCGATGATCCAGCAACTGGGGATCAGACCTAGGATCTACGGTCTCACACTTCTAAACCACTTAGACAAAAACAATTGGTGTAACTTACACCGACCCGGGGCATTACATAACCATTTTTCATTGTCTTCGGTGAGTAACTTCCTTATGCCTGACATGATTTAGCCCCACTGTTCTTGCTTCCAAGTTTTCAATGGTTGTCTAACTTAGATCTGTTTGTGGTTTCAATAAAATTCAGCAGACTTCACAATCCAATGTTAATAATTGTGACTTTGTTTGCAGTGTGGTCTAACTTCTTCTTCAAGATCGATCAAACAATATTTTCCATGGTGATCTAGCTTCAACTGTCTCATGATTTCAACCATGAAAATACTGAAATATCAACAAAACCCCTTCTGATTATAATCATATGATCACTAGTGACTGACTTCAAGATACATATCCTGGAGTTCTAGTGAGAAGCAGTGACAAGTGGAGTTCAACCAGGTCTATTGGGAGATATCAACTCACTGATGACATTGGTGAATGGTTGCTCAATTTTGTGGATCTGTTGAAGTTAGACATTAACACCGTTGGATGCCGGCCGTCTCAGTGGTCTATCGGTTAAGTGCTCTGGCGCGAGACTGGTAGGTCTTGGGTTCGAATCTCACGAGGTGGGATCGTGGGCGCGCACTGCTGAGGAGTACCACAATAGGACGAAATGGCCGTCCAGTGCTTCTAGGTTTTCCATGGTAATCTAGCTTTAATTGACTCATGATTTCAACTATCGAAATATCATTCGTAATTAATATAAAGCAGTACCTTCAAAATTTCTACAATTTTCCCTACTTATTACTCTGTGTAATGTCAACTTTAAGACTTATGAATAACTCACTTTCTATATTGGCCTTAATCTGCATATGTTACAGAAAAGATACACCAACTGCAGCTGATGTCATTAATACATTGAATGCTGACGAATTATCAAATATATTCAGTATTTATGGTGAAGAACGTTTATCTAAACGTATTGCAAATGCTATTATTGATTATAGAAATGATGTTGGTTCAATTCAAACAACAAAACAATTAGCTGATTTAATTCATTCTGTTGTGCCAATGAATAGAGAAGGTAGAAGGTAAGTAAAATTTCATCAATATATGTGTTTGGTTTCATTTATATTTTGCCCCCGAATACCCTGGTACGGTCGAGAGTGGGGAGAGTCCGCTCCCCCTCTCCAAATGCTCTCTCATGGCCACGCGTATATAGCCTCTGCTAGGGAAGTCCTACTCATTGCATTCTCGTGCCATTACTGTTGTTTACGAAATTGAGAGGACGAAAAGCAAATGTCTGACGCTTTAACCGGGTTGGTGGACAAGGAAAGTCCACATAGGGGAGTTGGAAAATCCTGATTCCAAACCAATGGTGCACATGGGCTGTCTCCAGTATCCTGAAGGAACAAATGGCTTATGAATCAATCGTTGGTCACCGGCTACCATGGAACTGCATCTCTTCACGATGCTCCACTACCTTGTGAATCAGATCTTTAGATCAAAGGCTCCGGGTGTGGCCCCCCATAAAAAACACCTGTTTTAGTTTGGGCACCAGGGCAGTATCATAGCCCACATACAAATCAAATGAAATTTGTGTGGCGCATATTTATTTGGTGCCCCTTTGTATTAATATTTATGTGTTTAAATAAAACAATAAATGCTATAAATTGAATTCAACTAAATAAATGGTTGAAAGTATGAGTCAATTGGCCCATGCTTTCAACTATGAAAATACTGAAATCTCCACAATACCCCTTCTGAATGAATGGTACTTTCAACTTTAGTTTTCAACTGTTTAGCTATGGGTGCTTATGATATAGTCATCATGAGATTTGAAAATTCTTGGTTCTATACTTATTGAGGAATATCTCCAATTTAAGATGAAACTTCGAAAGGAATCCGCTCCATTATTATATAAAATATAGTTCGATGCGGATAATTCCTTTTTTGACTGCCATTTACTAAACTTTCTAAATCATACTTATGGTTATATAGAAGCGGTATGTTCAATCCTTTTTTAATATCGGTCTTAAGGCGCCTTCGATTCGTTGGACAGGACTGTTCTCTGGGATTGTTTATTGAATAAGGGTGTGCCTGAGAAGTTTATTAACATCTTAAAGGCCCTGTATACAAACACCTCAGGTAGAGTGAGGGCATACAACCACCTTTCTCCATTGTTCCATTCGAGCAGTGGGGTTAGGCAGGGTTGCCCGATCTCACCATTCCTCTTCAACTTTGCTATCAACGACATCCTGAAAACAGCTCTGATGGATGTAAGTAATGGCGGTGTGGATATGTTGCCTGGAGAAAGACTTCTCGACATTGAGTATGCGGATGATATTGTCTTACTGTGCGATAATGCCCAAGGCATGCAATCCGCACTTAATCAGTTGGCAATCAGTGTCCGCAGGTACGGCATGTGCTTTGCACCCTCTAAGTGCAAGGTACTTCTACAAGACTGACAGGATTCTCATCCTGTACTCACCTTGGACGGTGAGCAGATTGAAGTAGTTGAGAAGTTCGTGTATCTAGGTAGCTATATAAATTCTGGTGGTGGCGTGAGTGATGAGATTGATGCACGTATAATGAAAGCCAGAGCGGCTTATGCCAATCCGGGCCATCTTTGGCGCCTTCGTGATGTTAGTCTGGCTGTAAAAGGTCGGATCTACAACGCGTCGGTGAGAGCAGTTTTGCTCTATGCTTGTGAAACCTGGCCTCTCCGATTTGAGGATGTTAGACGACTCTCTGTGTTCGATCATCGTTGTCTCCGAAGGATTGCTGACATCCAGTGGCAACACCATGTTAGTAATGCAGAGGTTCGGCATCGTATGGTCGAGCGCAGAGACGATAATTCAATTGATGTCACCATCTTGAAACACCGACTTCGGTGGCTTGAACATGTTTTACGAATGTCGTCCCAGAGAATTCCACGTCGTGCATTATTTGTCGACGCTGGGACTGGTTGGAAAAAACGGAGAGATGGTCAGTGTATAAGGTGGTGTCGTGGTATGAAAGGAAGCTGCGAAGGGCTAGCTTCTGTTGGTCCTTCACAACTCCCTGGCTGGGGTCCAAGAGATGGTGCAACACAGTGGCTAGAGACGTCATCATATATGGCTCAGAATAGAGGGTTATGTCATCAAAACATTGGGGTATTTAACACTTGTAAAGCAATTAAATAGCTCACACCCTAACCCTAAAATTTTTAGGTATGTCTTGCTGTAGATGAGTCCCAGGTTACACAAAATACAAGTTGTAAAGGAGTTCCTACCGACCACCCTCAACCGCCTAACATCTTAACATTGTACTTGAGGTATCAACTCATTTAAACCAGTAATAACACTGCAACTGGGTTGGTAGAATTCAATCCACACAATGAATAAGACACATAGTATTGTTCACTATCCTGTGACCAGTCAATATTATGTATGATTACTTGTTTTCATCTCTCTCTATGTACTTACCATTCTTTTCAGCTCAATTCATCCAGCTACACGTGTATTTCAAGCATTACGTATTTTCATTAATGATGAACTAAATGAATTATGTATCGGTTTAGAATTAGCTGAATTCTTGTTAAAACCTGGTGGTTATCTAGTTGTTCTATCATTTCATTCATTAGAAGATCGTTTAGTGAAATGGTCATTCCATTCTGATCATAAACATTTAACCTTATCTAAATATTTATCACAACGAAGTCGACATTTTCAATGTCTTAATAAAAGACAAGAATATGAAGATGATGAAATATCAAAAGAATCTCTGGGACAGATCAAATCAAAATGGAATTGTGTAAGTTAGATAATTTTGTGGTGATCTAAGTTATCGAATCATATTGTTTTCTACTACTACTAACATTGTTGGGCCCCCAAATGCCTTGGTACGACCGAGAGTGGGGAAAGTCCGCTCTCCCTCTCCAAATGCTCTCACATGGCCACGCGTATATAGCCTCTGCCAGGGAAGTCCTATTCACTGCCTTCTTGCGGCAGCGGTATTATTAACCAAACTAAGATGACGAAAGGCGAATGTTCGGCGCTTCAACCGGGTTGGTGGAAACGGAAAGTTCACCTATGGGAGTTGGGAAACCCTCATTCCAAACCAATGGTACACATGGGCTCCAATATCCTGAGGGAACGACTGGCGTATGAACCAATTGTTGGTCACCGGCTTCCATGGGACTGTATCTCTCCACGATGCTCCACGGTCTTGTGGATCAGACCTTTAGGTCGAAGGCTCCGGGTGTGGCTTCCTAAGAAAACCACGTGCTTCATTTTGTGCACCTGGGCAGTATCACATCCCTCACACAAATCTCATTTGATTTGTGTGGCGCATATGTATCTGGTGCTTCCTTGTACCAATGTTTATGTGTTTAAATAAATAAATAAATTAACACTGTTGCTACTTCTGATAGTCCGATATTTATCTTAAATATTTTTTTCTTATTGTATTGATATTTGATGGAAGCCTGTACCGATAAACATATTTCGCAAGTTTAATGTTGTCTATAAATGGCCCCTGAATGATCTTGTACGGCCTAGGGTGAGGAGGGTTTGTTCCTTCCTTTCGAAATAATCTCATATAGTCACGCGTATACAGCCACTGTCAGGTGAGTGTTGTTTATGAAATCGGGAAGACAAAAAGTGAATGTTCGGCGCTTCAGCGGGTTAGTAAATAAAGAGAATTTCCCCAGGGGAGTTTGAAAACCCTGATTCCAAAACGATAATGCACATGGACTCCAGGTTGTTGGGGTTACAAATGGCATATAACCCTATTGTTGGACACCAGATACTATGGGATTGCATCTCCTAACGTTGCTCCACTACTTTGTGGATTAGACTTCTAGGTGAAAGGCTCATGGAGTGGTTCCCTAAGAAAACCACCTGCTTCGGTCTGGGCGCACGAGGAGTATCCTGACCCTCACACAAATTGAATAACAACTACTACGTATGGCGCATATTCATTTTTGTATCCCTTTGTACTGATGTTTATATATTTAAATAGATAAATTTATAACTGGTTGATTCGAAGTAGCGTGTAATCGAATCGTATGCACCGATATACTTCATTGACCTGATTTCCGGGTGCTTTTACTGCAGGAAATGTATAATTTGTTTACTATTTTTTATTTAATTGTGTTATTATGCAGATACATGGTTACACACTAGTCTAAACGTACTTCCTTTAAGCTGATTCTAATACGAAGTAAGAAAGTGTAGTTTAATTGAGTTTCAATCTGTGAACGTTCAGAAGGATACCAAGGTTACGTCATTGTATGTGTATGGGTAATGAGTGTAAGAGATTACGTGAAAATTCCTGTTTATCGGCAGTGTTTTATCGATCAAACCAATGACACATGAAACCCGTACGAACAGTCTAGAGCACTTCTTGGTCCTGCTACCTGCTTAGCCCAGCCAGTTAAGTCTAGAATACCAATAACAGCATCTGCGATATGAATCATTATATTTCAAACATACTGGGTTTATATACCAATCAGACAGACCACATCGTACCATAAAATAGAAAATAACATGTGTACAAGATCTGGCCAAATGTGACTGTGAATAGGGGGAACAGTAATTAATAGACTGGGTATAACTCAGGAATGGCAAATCGTACAGCAATAGTCTATGAGTCAAAATAAAGCTTATAATAAGAGGAACATGAATATGAATAGTTAGGTTACTTGGTTTTGTAACAATAGGAAATATACACATCATATTGGTCCATAAACGGGTCCCAAAGTTACCATTCATAATTCTCTTCAGGATATAACAGAGGTTTACATATTGTACTGCAAAGATAAATTTACAAAGTCATGAAGAACTTCACTTCGGAACATGGCACACGCAGAGTCAAGTCATTAGTAACTTTATTGGACATTAATCGCCCACTCCCTCAATCAATTACTGATAATGTTTGATTACTTTGATCATAGAAAGCATACATCATTAGTGTACAACTTACATAATAAATCTAGTTAGTTCCATTTAGTAATTCAGTAATAATTCAAGTAATACTTGATGGTAACTAATACTTCTGTGCTGTAAGTGAATTTTGAACCATTTAGAGCTTGTCAACTGAATCCCTCCACAGTACTAATGATTTAGTATTGACAACCACAATTTTCATTATTTCACAAGTTGTAAACTTTTGACTTATTGTGGGACTCCTCAACAGTGCCCATTCACGATCCCGCACTCGCGAGATTCGAACCCAGAACCTACTAGTCTCGCGCCAGAGCACTTAACCGATAGACTGGTAGGTCCTGGGTTCGAATCGCGCGAGGCGGGATCGTGGATGCGCACTGCTGAGGAGTCCCATAGTAGGACGAAACGGCCGTCCAGTGCTTCCAGGTTTTCCATGGTGGTCTAGCTTCAATTGACTCATGATCTCAACTATATAAAATTACTAAAATCTCCACAAACCTCCTTCTGACTTTGACTTATTCTTAAAAACAAATTGAAACTTATCAGATTACTTTGTTATATAAGCTGAAAAAATGATTATTTTAACAATGTACTGGTCTCATACTTTTTAATATATTAGCCTTTATACTAAGTGAATTTAAACTTCAACCCATTGAACAAGCAAGTGGCTATCAGGACTCAGTATCTGAGTAGATAACGTGATGGCGTTTGAAGCAAAAGCTACTGGGTTCGAGTCTCGGAATGAGCACTAATTCTGAGATGCAGGTACATCCATCTGACGAGTCACAAATAAGACGAAACGAGCGTCAAACTGGATTCCACTGCTAGCCACTATCCATCTTTTCTTATTAGCCTTTATATTAGTTATCTTTAACACTATAATGCTATTTTTTCTTAAAGGTTATTGGACCTATAACTCCTTCCGATTCAGAGATAGATTCTAATCCAAGAAGTCGTTCAGCCAAATTGCGTATAGCAAAAAGAGCATAATTGGAAAGAGATTAAGAAAACAACGACAATAAGTGATTAGATTACTAATCAAGTTGTATGATGTACAGAGTATTAGATGTGTGGATAAATACAATGCAATTGAGTTTCGCTAAACAGTTCCAATTCTGAAGTTACATTTTGTACATATCAGTTTGTTTTCTTCACACAAAAAAAATCGTATTTGTACACTTATGTAATTATTGCACCAATTAAATTGATATGATCGATTTTACTTTCCATAAGTATGGGGGGGGGGCTTTTTTCATTTGTTTTAAGGTCTGTTTTAATGACACCGTTTCTTAGAACAAACCTATATATGTGTCAGTAAGAGTCCACAACTTCCTGTTATTAATATTCAGGACTATAATTTATATCAGTTTCCGTCCCTATAATATATGCATCCTGAATTGACTTACTTACTCTTGTTACCCCTCGTTGAGGAGCATAAACTGTTCACCAGCATTCTCCATCTAACTCCGTCCTGAACAATCCTTTCCAGTTGTTATTTACTGTTTCTAATTGTCAACGTAGTGTGTTCTTCCGCCTTCCTTTTTTCCGTTTCCCTTCGGGATTCCAGGCTAGCGCTTGTCTCTTGATGCAGTTTAGTGGTTTCCGTAACATATGTTCTATCCACCGTCATAGTCTTTTCCCAATTTCCTCTTGAGCTGGAAGCTGATTTATTCTCTCTCACAGTAAGCTGTTGCTGGTGGTATCCGATCAACAAACATTAAGTATCTTACGTGGATAATTGCTTATAACTACTCGTATTTTTTATTATGGTTGTGATAATTCTACGGATTTCAGCTCCATACAATAGAACTGTGTTGACGTTCACATTGGAGATTCTAACTTACATATTGGTTGACAGTTGTTTTGAGTTCTTCAATTGTAGAAATGCTGTCCTTACCTTGCCTTTATGTTTGCATCAGATCCTCCTTATTCATTGATGATGCTGTCTAGGTATGTGAAAGTTCCCACCTTTCCTAGAGTTTCTTCACCCTGAATTCATTGCACTGCCACAAATATCTCTATGGATATCAGCACCAGAATAAAATCACATCCAACTGACTGGTCTCATGTAGGATGTAACGTGTTACCTGGTCTCATATACATAAGTATTAGTATTTGCGTCTCAGATTGATCTCTGTTATTCAATAAATATAAAGCAAATTCAGTGAAGGAAGTTTTCTCTTTTTGACAAAATCATTTACTTAACCTGTACATTGATACTTATAGTTGTATGGTAAGTGTGTAAGTTTATAGAAGGATAGAAAAAGATTGCATCACAAAGTGATTCGAGACTAATTATCAAAGGAGGTTACGTAATAATCAAGGGGTTAGATAAGAATAGAACGAAAATAATCTACAGGTCAGAATACTAGTTTGGAAAAAGCAAGACCAAGAGAGGCTGAATCTACCGTTTTGCACACAGAGTTCAAACCTGAATTGGTGGATCGCCAACGCTTCAGCAATGCCTAAGTTTTTGATTCGACCTTCCTTTGGTTTTGTAGATTATTTTAAAGGAATGCTCCGTAGTGACGTGTCCAGAGTTGATTGGATGCTCCTGTATTGAATTGGTAACTGTTTTGTATTCTCCTTTTAAAAACGATGCCGGGTAATGTTCTAAGATGCGTTCAGTAAGTGATCGCTTTGTGAGGCCAATGTAATGTGCCCCAAAGGACCAAGCAAATTTATAGTTACATATCGTTTATTGTGATTATTACTCAACCTCACTTGGTAATCAAAGTCTCGAATCACTTTGTGATGCAATCTTTTCTATCCTTCTATACACTAATATATTTACCATACAACTGTAGATACGAATTTACAGATTAAGTAAATAATTTCGTCGAAAAGATAAAATTTTCTTCGCTGAATTCCCTTTATTTTTATTCAGTGACACAATGGGTTAATTTTTGATGACCTCTGTTGTTTGGTTCGAAGTTTTTTGTTTAAAATGATGTTGAGGAGAGTCATCTATCCAAATGCCCTGGTACGGCCGACGGTACAGAGAGTCAGTTCTCTCTCTCCAAATGCTCTCAAATGGCCACACGTACACAGCTACTACCAGGGAGGTCCAACCCACTGCCATCTCTCGGCGGAAGCGTTGTGCACGAAATCGGGAAGACGAAAAGCGAATCTCCGACGCTTTAAATGGGTTGATGAACATATGAAGGATCCACCTAGGGGAGTTGGGAAACCCTGATTCCAAACCAATGATACATATGGGCTCCAGAATGTTGAAGGAAGAAAATGGCGTATGAACCGTTTGTTGGTCACCGACTATCATTACTTACGCCTGTTACCCCTCATCGAGGAGCAAAGGCCACTCACCAGCATTCTCCATCCAACTCTGTCCTGAGCCTTTCTTTCATCCTTCTCATATCTGCTTCTATTTCCGGACGTAATGTATTCTTTGGCCTTCCGCTATTCCGCTTCCCTTCCGGATTCCAAGTTAGGGATTGTCTTGTAATGCAGATTGGTGATTCCCTTAATGTATGTCCTATCCACTTCCAACGTCTTTCCCTAATTTCAGCTGGAAGCTAGTTTGTCCTCTCCCATAAAACGCTGTTGCTGATAGTATCCGGCCAATGGATGTTGAGTATTTTGCATAGACAACTGTTTATAGATACTTGTACCTTCTTGACGATGGATGTAGTAGTTCTCCAATTTTCAGCTCCGTACAGTAGGACTGTCTTGACGTTTGTATTGAAGATTCTGACTTTGAAATTAGTAGCTCTTCTAGAGTTACTGCCGGTCCCAAGCCCGGATAAAGGAGGAGGGTTGGGCATAGGGGTTAGCGACCCCACCCCGTAGAAAAGCTAATTCGCTAAAAAACGCTAACCGACTATCATTAGGATAATTTATCTTACAATTCTATTCAACATATAAACTGATTCAAGTCATTAATTAAAATAACTTTATTTAAAGTAGGGAAAAAGAAGGCTATTTACAACAACTTCATGTACAATGACGAAAAATAGAAAATAAAGATTCAATAATCAATAGCGAATGATTTTAAAGTTTTTAAAAGTGTTCTCGGTTTAATAAAACGTTTCAATTCAGTTCTTGGCACCCATATAAAATTATTAATATTGAAATCATTATTTAAAATTAAATCTTCACCATGCCAATGTCTATCAACATAAACATTGAAAAAGTATATCTATAAATAAATAGAAAAAGAGAAAATATATGAATATGATTATAATTGAAAAACAGACATTGTTGTTTACATTGGTAATATCGACAATTTCTAACCCCCCTCATGTTGTTGAGAAGTAGTATCATCACTGTCATACTTTTATACAGATAGTAGTACAGTCACAATATAGAACTTCGTACGTACGTACATCAGTTCGAGATGCCATACCACATTAGCACAGAGATGCAGTTGTCGATTCAAATCCTATAGTGGTAGAAGTAGTAGGAGTATAATCAGAAATCCAAAAGATTAGGGTTTGAAGAAATTATTGAAGGAGTATAGTACAGTGAAATAAATTTGGAAAGAGAAAAAGATAAAGACATGAAGAATTCAGAAGATTAGAATTTGGTAGAACACAAAGAAACGGATGCACATTCGCCATTGCAAACGATTTTGAGCCATGTCATTCAAGGTCTCTAACCATCGGTTGCTATCATCTCGCGAATCCCAACCAGGTAGTCTACACTTACCAACATGGCTCAGCCCACTTGTCAGTGACTTCATGGATTTGTGCCACGTTTTGGTCTGGCCACCCCTAGCTTTCCTCCAACCTACTCCTACACCATGAAACATTGCACGTCGGGGCAGTCGGTGGTTCGGCATACGTAACACGTGTCCCAGACATCTCAACTGATGAAGTTTCACTACTTCATCAATCGATTTGCCATCCTTACCTAGTACCCGTTTCCTAACAACTGCATTACTTACTCGGTGGTCCCAGGATATACGAGCAATGCTTCGAAGACACCTATGATCAAATACTAGTAGCCTACGAATATCCTCTACCCTTATCGGTCATGTTTCACTGACATAAAATAGGACGGAACGAACTGCTGCACAGTAAACCCGTCCTTTAGTTGCTAGACGGATATCTCGCCTGCGCCGTAAATGACGCAAGTTGGCGAAAGCTAGACGAGCCTTCTGTATCCGTGCTGAGATTTCGTCACACACCAGACCACAAGAGCTGATGAGACTCCCAAGATAAGTGAAGCTGTCAACACGCTCAACTACTTCACTCCCTATCATTAGTTCAGGTGTTGCTGCAACCCAATCCTGAAGTAACATTTTGCACTTCGAGGGAGAGAATCGCATTCTGAACATGCCTGCATAGTTGCTTATGGTAGACAGAAGACTGCATTTTGTCAGCGTCTTCACCAAATAAAACCATGTCGTCGGCGTATTCTAAGTCAACAAGTGAGCCTCCTGGTAAAAGTTCAACTCCTGGAGATTGAGATGATGAAAGTGTTATCTCTAAAAGCATGTCAAAGACAAAGTTAAACAAAAATGGAGAGAGTGGACAGCCCTGACGAACACCACTCGAGGTAACCACTTCTGATGACAGTTCACCATAGGCTCTAACTCGACCAGTTGTGTTCGAGTAGAGAGCCTTTATAAGGTTAATGTACTTCTTTGGTACTTTTTTTAGTGACAAACACTGCCGTAGAACCTCACGTTCAACGGAGTCAAATGCTGCCTTACGGTCAAGAAATACTACGATTGTGGGACGTCTAAATGTATGTCTATGTTCTAGGACCTGACGTAGAGTGAATATCTGGTCTATGCAAACACGTCCAGGTCGAAAACCAGCCTGGTTTTCTCTAGTCTGCTCTTCACGAGCTTTGGTTAGGCGTCCAAGTATTATTGAAGCTAATATTTTAGACACTATATTAGTCAAACTGATCCCTCTGTGATTGTCACAGGAGGACTTTTGTCCTTTCTTATAGACTGGCACAATCAGTGATTGGGACCAGTCAGATGAGATTACATCCAGTTCCCAGATTCTACCTAAGACCTCAGTCAATCTCGCTACTAGTACTGGACCAACATCCTTAAAAATCTTAGGAGTAAACCTGTCAGGGCCTGCTGCTCACCCTCACTTCAGATTTCCTATAGCTTTTTCAACCTCGTAGAGAGTTGGAGGACTTACATAAATTTGCCATTCAGGACGACTGGGGATCGTGGGTAACTGAAGTGTGGCTGAAGGCCAGTTGAACTGGTCCCTAAAGTGTTCTGCCCATCGATCCAATCTCCTGGATTGAGAATGAATGATATGCCCATCTTTATGTGAGATAGTTTCACTGATATTTGTTTTCCTAATACCGGTTTCTTTAACGAGTCTGAATAGCTGTCTACCGTTACCTATTGCCGCTGCCTTTTCCATCTCTCTTGCTTCTGCTACCCACCACTGTTCACGATCATTGCGTAGGCTTCTTATTAGCTTGCGCTTAAGTTGACTCCGCTCTTCGTTATGTTCAGAGCCAGGTGGGATGACTTTTCGAGCATCTATCAGTGTGGTAGATGATGCTGAGATTCATTGTTTCTCCCTAACCTTATGGTTTACCTTACTAGCGGATATCACTGCTGTTTCCACAGCTTTTCGGATGTTATTCCACGCTGCCTCGGGGTGGGCACAACTTACATGTCTGCCTAACTGTTTTTCCAGTTGTTCCTGAAATATATTCTTAGCTTGCTCATCATTAAGTAGAACCCTTAGAGGCTTCCCTGCAGTGTCTTTCCTACGTCCAGTAAGACTCAGACAGATACGTGCTCGCACTAGAGCATGATCTGAGTCTAAACATGTGCTCCAGAATGAGCAACAGCTTTCTATTGAGCCCCTCCATCGGTAGCTGATAGCGATAAGATCTAATTGGGTCCAACGTTGGGACGAATTCGGGGGCCGCCATGTCAAAAGATGTTTTTCCTTATGCTTAAAGTTAGTATTTGCAAGAAACAGGCGGTTATCTGAGCACAGCTGCAACAGACGGTCTCCATTATCTGTTCTTTTAGCCATAAGATCCACCCAAATGTCTTTCCCTTTCGCTTAGTCTACCTACTTGAGCATTAAAGTCACCTACCACTATTACTACATCAGAACGCCTAGCTTTTCGGAGAAGGTCAGAAAGTTTCCTGTAAAACTCATCTTTTATATCGTCTGAGCTGCAGTTAGTGGGAGAGTAGGCAGAGATGACGAAGAGGCAACGACGAGTTTTCCTATTTTTCCGAGTCCTTACTGATCCGTTTGGTCGGACAGCGCATAGACGACTGTCTACTGGGATCCAGTCTAAAAGAGCTAGTTCTGCCCTGGGACTTAATGCTATACCTACGCCAGCTAGGCCACGGGAAGCAGCATCAGGGTTTCCAGATACACGAAGCGTGTATCGAGATGGTTCTTTATTTTGATTAGGTGAGGTCAAATGAATGACGCTACTCGGATCTTTGGAGACGCAGCACACATCGATGGTGTAAGATTCTAAAGTCCTAGCTAAGGAAGCCTGTTGTCCTATTTGGCACAATGTTCGGACATTAAAAGTTCCTACATATAGTTTAGAGCGTGGTTTCAGGAGATCAGGAATAACGTTCCATGTACTCGAATCGTTTGCCCTAGCGGTGCGAGGTGATAAAAGGACGTGCAAAGGGTTAATTGTGGAGATGAGTTATTAGGTGTAGGAAGGATTTGAAAGTGACAAATTTGGTTTCGTGTGCAGTAACGGGTATGAGGGCTAATATCACTTCCCGGCTGCCCACACTGTGGAAGGGTATTTCTTGAGGGACCTGAAAAAGAAGTTGGATTAGTGTTGGTCTTAACGACTTCGGAGCGTGACCGCAGTGCCCAAGGGACAACTGCTTGAGGTCGGTCACACACGACCTTTTTGTGGGTAGTTTTTGTGTTAGCTCCGTTCTTCAAAGGACCTTAACGCCGGAGACGGAAATCCGTGGGATAAGGCGAGGTGTGCATTTTTAGGATCGACCATTTCTAACCCCACCCCTCCTTGTGGGAAGGCAGCATCGCTGTTATGCTGGTTGTCTGAAAGAAACACCTTACTGCCGCCACACCTCTGTACAGTCAGCAGTACGACTTCGCCTTCGGACCTTGGTTTGCTGCTTTTAGTCTTAGCGCTCTTCAACCGACCTGCCTGGCATGGCAGGATCTTGAGGAACGATTGGTTCATCACGATAGGCAAGCCCGATCACCACGTCAAGGTAGCAGCAACGGTCGGGTCTTGATTGATATAGTTCGATTTAGCAATTATAGATATGCAAACCTGACCACTACAAAGCAATAGGTATGGCAGAGATAATGTCTAGAAAGAATGAAAGCTTTATGACTTAACCGTTCAGTTCAGAGAGCCTAAAATTTCAAACCATGACGAAACAACTAGATCTCAATGATCCACCAAATGTCAGCCTATGATTAAAAATCGAATAGGTCTCTAAAAACTACCCAACTAGATGATTTCTATTATTTTTGAAGAACAAGTAAAAACCTATTAGCAGGTAGTAAATATACACTTACCTGTGTACCAGTATCTTCTTTATTTCTATCTGCAGTTAACCAAACAGCAACTGGTGTATTACCAAATATACACCATTTAGCTCTTGATGGTAATAAACTTGTCGCTATTGAATCTGCGACCTAGAGTGGGACAAAAGTGAATAAAATATAAGAATAGTAGCGATCTCTTTCAGATGATATGGTAGACAAAAGAATTAAGTTATAAATACTGGAATGGGTACAAATGATCTACAATATTGTTTTTTTGTATAATTTACAATAGTGCATGTCAGTCAGTCAGCTACAACGTAGGACTAGGCACATATATGCGTCGTTCCAAGTCGCCATACCTCGTTAGCACAACAAGATGAACATCGAATTCGTAGAAGTAGTTAATTTAGTGGTGGTAGTATATAGAAGAAAGATTGTATATAAGGATATAGTATAGGAAGGAAAAAAGTTATGAAGCAATTTAAATCATATAGTTTAAGGGAAGATAAAGAGTGTATACACCTACGCCATTGTGATCGATTCGGAGCCATGTCACCTAGAGACTCCAACTATTGGTTTGGACAATAGTGCATGACTATGATGGCAAAATTTATTTTCTTCTTATTGGTGTTCAGTGCAGTTCAAATGATCATCGAAACTACTTGGAGTAGACTTTACTTAAATTTCAATAGTTACTATCCAATAAGAGCTACAAGAAGGCTTTGGTTAAAACACTATTGAAACTATATATATAGAGAGAAGGGAAGACTGGAAAATAGCGAATATGGTTAATTTTAGGCTAAGAGGTCCACTGAAGAGTACATATCCAGCCACCAAACCATTTTCTATGTATCAAACAAATAGCACACTGAGGAAGACAAAAGTGGGCAAATTCCCACCTCAGGTTACCACCGATTGCAGTTACCAGTTCACATGCTTATGCCAGAGCATTTACTTTGAAAGGACAGAAAAGAGAATTCATGATCGAATCTCGGAGTATATTGCATAAAAAGTAAAGATCAAGAAGTCAGCGTATTTTCAACAATGTCATGGCTTGATATTTTAAAATCTTTACAAAATAATAAATGCTTAGAGATATTTGAATTTGAGACGTTATCAAGGGATCATCGCTATGAAAAAAGTAAAACCAAATCCATATATCCAAAAGGAAACAGTTGTGGATCTCTCACTATTCTGGTAACTTCTAGTTTCTGCTATCTAATTACGTTATACCTTATTTCATATTCGTAATAGTAAATTCCTTTTCCGATGTTGGGTCTTTTTGAGCTCTACTCAGCCAATTGTGTTATTCTACCAAACTTTTATATACATGCTCTAGGAATAAACATTCATGTGTTTAAGAAAGAATTTATTCTGGAGTTTTCAGTTGGTAAATATTCATTCACTTCACCACTTTATGGTTTCTCTAAGTAACTGTTGTTGTTATTCTGCTATGATCTTCGTTTTGATGATATAAAGTATGCACATTGTTATAAACCACCAGTCAATCAGTCACAACGTAGAACTTCGTACGTACATAAATCAGTCCGAGTTGTCATACCACATTAACACAGAGATGCAGTTGTCGATTCAAATCCCATAGTGATAGAAGTAATAAGAGTATAAGCAGTGGAACCCAATTTGACGCGCGTTCCGTCCTATTTGAGATTCATCAGCTGGATGTACCTGCATTCTAGAGTTGGTGTTCACTATGGAATTCGAACCCAGTACCGTTCGCTTCAAATGCCATCGCGTTATTCACTTAGCCACTGAGTCCTGGTAGCTACCTGCTTGTGCAATGGGGTGAAGTTTAAACTCACTTAGTACTGTTTGCTTGTATCTTCCCATTGTTGTTTAGGTCTGCAACTGATCAGTCTCTTCTTGGCATATGTATATCCTGTGAATATTGCCTCGATACTGGGTTTGAGTCCCTGGGTGAACATCAACTCTGGGATGCAGGTATATTTAGCTGACGAGTCCCAAATAGGACGGAACGCGCTTCAAACTGGATTCCATTGCTAGTCACTATCCATCTTTGCCTATAATGCTTGTGAATTAAGGCAATATCGAGGCAATCCGCACAGAATGCCCATGTGCCAACAATAGACTGCTCAATTGCAGTCCTAAACAACAATGGGAAGGTACAAGAAAACAACACGAAGTGAATTCACAATAATTATTGTTTCTAACTTCTAAGCAGCTGACTAAAAAGCAGGAAATAACTGATTTCACCTTATTCTGCTACACTTGTTCTTGATTTAACCAAATTAACTTTTGTGTTAAGTATTTCATAGATAGTTGTGTCATTAAAATAAGTATTATCTAATGATATTAGCTTCTGCGTCATAACTGAGCCTCACGATATTATACACTACACTGTTGATTGCACAAGCTTAATGTCTCTTATTGGTACACAATAACATTTAAATCATATTCACACCAACATACGCAATAAGAAGGAAATGAGGATCATCCTGTATAGGAAAGCTTTTGTTGTTTCCAAGAAAACAAAAACAAAGTGCGAATATTCTGTATACATAGCTTATACATGACTCAGTGTGTTAAAAGTTTGAAGAACCAATTAACGAATAGCCTAGGGTTATACGTATTTTCAAGTCACCATGTAATTTTGGTATGGAGTGTACAAACTTAAAGAAACATAAGAATTGATATTTTATGGCAATCTTAGCGGACTGTACGATGATTTTAATAAGTGTTATCAGTGCTAGGAAAAATGCTACACATTTTGATGATACATTGGCTATATCATCAAGTATTAGAATATTATTTATATAAACGTTTTCATAACTGGATACATCAATATAGTTACCTGTCTTAAATTTTTTCCATCGGATACTGGTGCAATCGGAAGATTCCATCCACTAGATACATTTTTCGGGGATTGGACCAATAAGTACAAAGGTTTATCTAATACACGCCAAGCGGACTTTAAATTTTCAGATTTATCATTTTCTAAAAGAGATCAAGTGAAAAGATGATCTGTGATAGAAAGAATTACTAGAAGGAAGCATGAAATCATTTTTATTGAACGTCAGTGAGAATAGTTATAACTCTCACAACTACACTGGACTACAGATACTCGCTCATAAGATGAAACCATCTAAAATAACTTCCACGTAGTAATATTATATTCAGAAATAGTCAAAAACGATTATTTCGAATTGTAACGCTGTTTAACTCCAACGGAACAACTTAACTATTTTTAACATCATAAAATTTAGCTACTATTAAATCGTTTAACTAGAAAATGAAATAAAATCACAGTACTACCGTTACTAATCCCTGTTTTGAGACATGTGATAAGATTCCAAGCCATTCGATTGCATGGCATTTATTTATTTATTTAAACACATAAATATTAGTACAAAGAGGCACCAGATACATGTGAGCCACACAAATCTCATTTGATTTGTGTGAGGGTTGTGATATTGCCCAAACAGAAGCAGGTGGTTTTATTAGGGAGCCACACCCGGAGCCTTTGACCTAAAGATTTGATCTACAAGGCAGTGGAGCATGGTGAGGAGATGCAGTCCCATGGTAGCCGGTGACCAACAATTGGTTCATACGCCATTTGTACCCTCGGGATACTGGAGTCAGCCCATGTGCACCATTGGTTTGGAATGAGGGTTTTCCAACTCCCCTAATTGGACACTCCACATCCACGAACCCAGTTAAAGCGCCTGGTATCCGCTTTTCGTCCTCTTAATTTGGTGAACAACACCCCCGCCACGAGAAGGCAGTGAATAGGACTTCACTGGCAGAGGCTACATAGGCGTGGCCATGTGAGAGCATTTGGAGAGAGAGAATAAACTCTCCCCACTCTCGGCCGTACCAGGGCATTTGGGGGCAATGGCATTTAAGACCCTATTGAAGAAGTTGGGACGCACTGGCGAACATAGCCTTAATACAACTACTCTTCCTTTTGAAGGAAGAAGAGGTGCTGTCAATTGTAGATAAGGTGTAGGTTCTAATATTTTACATAAACTATCGCTTTCACTTGACTGCAAGTGATAGTAAAATGAAGCTTACGCATATTCAAACATATTTTTCCTAACATAGAAGTCTATACGCTGAAATATGCCCCAAGAAAACAGTTAAAACTGATTATTTGAAACGTTTTGAACCCAAGCCTCGAAGTTTCCCTACACCTTTGATTTCTCTTCTACGAATAAACGTTTTTACTACTACTGATGCTGTTACTAATCCTATTATTTTGTAATTGTCTCGACAACTTCATCTCGGTGTGCTCTGGTGTCCTAACTTAGCCAAATTGGAAGAATTATTCTTTTTACCTGTTCATAATTACTGGCGAACATTTTCAGAGGAACAAATGCGCCTCTGATACAGGCTAACATCCCTTTTGGATGTCAGTCGAGTGCATATGAGTCGGAATGTTTTTGATTGTCAAAAGAAAAATCAGTTCTACGAGTACAAGTTGTTTAAGAAATATTCAGTATGAGTAAGCTTGCTTTAAGTGATTTATGATTCCTTGTAAAAACAGAAATATTCTAATGTTAAGAAATATATTACATGGTATGGACGGATCTAGAACTGAAAGTTAAATAAGATCACTCTTTTATCAACAAACCTTAAAAGCAAGGGGTCATCTTCAGTATAAACGATTGAGTCAGAAATAAATTATTCTGACAAAAAACATACCTGTCAATCGTTCTGCTGGCTTATATTGCTCAGCCTCTAACTCCCACATTATCTCCGCTTCACGAGCAGTTATGAGTGATTCTTCTGCACTTTTACCAACTCCTTTTGAAAGGGCACTAGCAAGTCTTTTAGTTTCAGTTTCATGTCTTAATTCATGTGCCGACAAGTGACTTCTTTCAAATTCGACCTTTCCAAGTAAATCGGCCACTTGTTTTTCAAGTGGTTTCAATTCTGGTGCAATAACTCCGGGTCGACGTATACACAACCCACTGAAGATATTCCAATTTTTGATATCTTTCAATACAACCAGAGAACGAGACATTACCAACTTACTATGAGAACAGGAAAAGAAACATTATTTACTGAATGGTGATTAAAGAATAAAAAAATAAGTTGATATGCATGCTCCTAACGGGGTCCTTACTTTGCGATGACATATCCCAAACAACTAATAAAGGGGAAATAAAGGGGAAATAAAGCGGAAAATGCATTGGTATTACCATGATCCTATACATGTATCCACACACATGACGAACAATACATGGAAGTTATATTACTAAGTTCCTGAAATCAATATTATATACGTATGCTTAAAAGAAAGTAGAGCGGTATCACACCAGATGTGTTACTGCTGCACGTTACTACCATATGGTTAGTGACATGTCTGTTACAACTAGACTGAAATACTGACAAAATCTTGTAACTCCCCTACGTGTTTTATTAGTTTACAATTGTAATATACAAACCTTTGAGATGAGGATAAAAAACAAAATGGCTCGGCCTAAACGTAGTGTAGTTTGATTAATATATGACAATTAAAACCATTACGTCCACAGAAATGCAGTTATAAAACCAAAATTCAGCGGGGTACATTTGTGATCAAACAAAAACCAAGTAGCTAAATGAACGTAGCCACCATGACGAAGAGCCACAAAAGATGACACCAAAAAGCTGAAACTCAGGTACATAAATAAGTCGTAGTGGATGAAAGTATGATTATGTTTACAAGCTTGTTAATTTCTTTATAGTGGTTGCGTAAGCAATAAAAATTGATGAACCTTAAGAGAATGCATATTATATTTCCATTTTTTCCAGATCATAACACTTTATCCAAAAGTGATACCTTTTCTTGGCCAGAGAAGTAAATACTCAGCTATATGACCTCGACTGTCAAAAACGTACAGTGACCCTCAGATGCACTTACGCGCTTTTAATATACAATCTATTGGTAATGTGCAAGAAGACGGAATTGAAAGAACAAAAGGAGAGACATAGCTGATAATAGGAGTTGATTTTAGTGGTGATAACCGTGGTAATTTATGAGACATGCCTCAGATGCGGAAGGTTCAAGAGGGAGATAGTGATCCTTGGGTGATTACTTGTTTGTCGAGTCTCCTCTTAAATGTAGTCACTAGTGGATCTGTGGTCACTTTGAATGAGAAAGAATTTGAGATAGAGGCGGCTTCTAATGAAAAACGCGAGAGCTTGCCTGGATGTTTGCCCTTTGATATGCAATTTCAGAGGGGTTGCCTTGAGGAGCGTGGTGATGTTCTGGTAATATCCCAAAGAGGGTTTTCCATCTCTATCCAGTCTCATGGCGCCAACCACATTTACAGTCGGTCTTGAACTTCTACCGATTGTGACCAGTCGATTATGGGACAGACTTGTAGGGGTCGTCTTGCTTACTGATATTTTGGGGTGAAATATTGAAATCTGCAAGTAGTAATGAATACAGTCCCAGTCATTTCATCACCTAGTTTATTTCATCTTGTTGGGTGCTAGAACATTTGGATGTCCGGTATATTCCTCCGATCGAGTACTTCATTCCATACACATTTAAGCAACACCAGCATGCGATTGCCGGCTTGGTTAGTTCTCTACTGTGTAGTGCTTCAGCTTTGAAGTGATTGTTAATGTATATTGTCACTTCGCCTCTTGTTTTGTGTACCTTACCGTATCTAAAAAGTGTCATGCCTTGCAAGCTCGCTTTTCCACTCATGACGTCAAGGGAGAGCCATGTTTCTACTAGGGCCATGATCTTTAGATCTATAAGAAACTTCACCTTCCCGACTTCTCCCGTTTTACTCCTTATTCCCCTTACCTTGTTATAGAGGCACTTGACAGCTTGTATAATCACATGGCACTCTTCTACAGTAACACTTGTCTTATAGTTTTTCGGCAGATTGTTGTTTAAGGAGGGTTGTCGAATTCCGTGACAACCGGCTTCAGTAGGTCTTTTGCTTGTATGGCGTGTCCTACTAGCGAGACAGTGGTTCTTGTGTTCTGTACCGTGGGTTACTGATCGAGATCAATGGACACCAAGGTGTATTCTCTGATGTTATCTCACCGATTTAACTTGGATTTCACAGCATCTGGTGTGATTAGAGAGGTCTTTTTCCAGGCTATATCAAGCCCAAAGAGCCCTGGTTAAATCCTCTCGGTTTCTGAAGTTTACAACCATCAGACTCAGAGACCTAATGGTCGTGAGGTCTGACAGATGGCACGGTCTGGACACACTAATCATCATAGTAGTGTAAAGGCCTATGCTAGATGATGACCGACGTCACTATTACGTATAGTGTTCGTGAGCTTCATCCCGACTACCGTCTAATGGCTGGGGCAGTCTGTAAGCCACCATGCTGGTTGGTTCTTGAGTGTTAGATGATCTTCGAGCGACAGCTCTTGTCGCCCATGGCTTTTGTCCAACTCGGATTTGAGGGGACCGCTTAACTGATGGTTTCTGGGGTGCTGGTAAAACCTATTTTGTAGCCTGTGTTGATCCTAATGTTACCTTCTATAGGGGGTTTACCTTTCTATACATTGGGACCCTAATACGGACTACATTGGATGGCTGACGTTGCACGCCTCCCCAGCATCCTATGATATTCGTACCACTATTTTTTGTCAAAGATTCCAGTACTTCCTAACAAGCTACCAATGAACAATGGAATGGTAAATGAAATCAATGAGGTTCGTTTAACGTCTTCATCACGCATTTTTACTGTTTTGAAAGATATTCTTTTTCCGATTTCCTTCTCAACTCTCACGCGCTTCTACTGACTGTAAACAGTTTCTGGGTAATTAGCCACACTTGGTAATTCTGTTTATGTATAGGCTTAGGGTGTGGTTCCCTCAGTCTTGTTTTTGGTCGAGCCTGTATTTGACAACTTGGATATACTGGTGGGAATTGATAAATTGAATTGAAAAATTAATCGAAAACTAGAAAAACAGCATTATAATCTTTCTTCTTAACACTGAAAAACCATCGAATTTCAGATAAATAACAACAAAAACTTTCAAGAAATACAAGATCTAATGAGAGAAGAAGAAACCACCAAGGAAGACAAGTGGAAAAGAGTCAAAAAAGTATTGAGTTTCACGTATAATCAGCACGTGAAGATGATAAACATGTGTTCGGCGACGGAAGAGATTAGTGTTTAGTAGAAGAGAGTGTGAACAAGTGGAGGTACGAGTCAGTGTACGGAGTGATTGTGGAAAGAGACATGTAGGTAGAAGGATGGGCGGATCAGTCGTAGACGACACCAGGAGGATGTGGCTGTTGAGATTAGGATGGATAGGCTAGTGTATGTCATGAGAGTGATTGGTTTAGAATGTGTGAGGAACGATGTAGTGTATCGACACGAGTATTGTGGTGTGTGTGCCTGTGTGTGTGCGAGCGAGCGAGCGAGCGAGAAGTTGGGAGAATGACTGATTGATTGATTGTTTGTTGGGTTGATTGTTTTGTTTGTTTGTTTGTTTGTTTGTTTGTTGGTTGGTTGGTTGGTTGACTGATTGAGAGATGGAATAAAGGAATGAGTGAATGACTGTCGTGTGTGAATGAGTGAGTGAGTGAGTGAGTGAGTTATTGTTAGTGATTGTTGCTAGTGGTTTGTGTTGATATGTGTGTGGTCGGCGAAATCGAGCAGAGTGGCGCAGTGGAAGCGTGCTGGGCCCATAACCCAGAGGTCCGTGGATCGAAACCACGCTCTGCTAACGGATTTTGACAGCCATCCCTTCACACTGTCCACTCTGCCGACACAAATACACACAACACTGATCACGATCACACAACCAATCATCTCTCACCACGCTTAACATCCGCCTCAACCACTGCAACTTGACGACTGTGTTATCTGTCGACCGGTCGGTCAGGTACACACTGTGTACGCATCATCCACGTCACCAGTCCGCACCAACTTGTCACACTGTTTTCACATGGACACTGTGTCCGCTGTTCACTTCAGATTTGTCTCGATCCACACTGACAATCAGACTGATGTGTGCATATCGACCTCTTGCTCATAGGTGGATGTGTGCAGCATCATCGCACACGTGCATTGCTGCTCATCGGTCTTTATCGACTCCGTCTCTAAGACACATCTTTCACAAGATTCCACCACACCAACAATATTTGTATTTGTAGTGGTATCGTTGTCGCATTGGCTGTCTTCACGAGGAGTATCAATGAATGTGAGAACAGTGTCCGTATTCACTGAGAAGTGATCAATCCGACTACTACAATACTCCTATCAACATGGATGACTCACATGGACTGTGTGATCGGACGACAGTTGTTAATTTTTGTGTCTGATCAGAGATTGAATGAGGCGAGGATAGACAGTGTAGCTGTAAATAATTCCCCAAAATCAATAGCTCATTAAGTGTTCGACATTGGATGCTGACCACATTGTTTAAGTGGACTTGTTTAGCTGAAGGCTTTCGGTCATGCATCCGCACCAGATCACGTTTCAATACTGCGTGGGACACAGCTCCTACGTTTCATTAGCCAGCTCATAGAAAAGGTCCTCGATATATTGGTAACGAATCAAATATATCTTTCCAGCGTATTCTCGTCCGACTTCTGATTTCTATCTGACTGGGAACAACCGAATTTAGAAGGTGCAACTGGTATCTAGTTGTAAAACTAGAATATCCGTTGCACCTTCAACAGTGTGTCACGCAAGCATTTGTGTGGTGTGTGTGTGCGCGTGTATGTGAGCGAGAGAGAGGGTGAGAGTGAGTGAGTGAGTGAGTGCGATTTGTGTTAATGACGCTCGAGGGAATGAATGAGGCAGTCTGACCGGGTGGGATGATAGAGATGACATGGGTGGAGTGTCGGGAAGCCAAGGAGCTGAGAACGAGAATGTGGGGGAATGCGTCTGTCAGATTGCATGCAACGGACAGGTACATTGATGGAATGCAGTCCACGAGAACACAGTGAACAGAAGAGGTGTTGAGAGAGATGAGCAGGAGCGATGTGGAGTGTTGAGCAACGAAGGTGAATAGTGTTTAGTAGAAGAGAGTGTGAACAAGTGGAGGTAC